TTTACATTTTCCGTGAATGGATCCGTGAAAGGCTCATTTTTACGGAGTTTTTACAGAAATAACGGATAAAATTTTTTATAGGGCTGTACGGTGCCACCCTAAATCTCGGACGGTTCCAAATTAGGGTCCAACTTTAGATTGTTAGTTTTACTGCTTTATTTCAGAGCAATTGCTACATGTCGTTGTATCTTCGTTTCTGTCGTTATGTTAAAAATAAAAAATAAAAAATAAATAAAAATAAAAATAAAAATATTTTTTCGTGTTCATTTGCAGATCACGATATTAACTAGTAGATACAGTAACATATCATAATACGATTAATTATTCAATCAAAGCCAATATCTTTATACTGTCTAAAATAAACCTAGGCTAACATTCTCATTAAAAATTGATCACATTACTTTTAATAAGATGATCGTAAAAGCTTTGTGGCGCCTCGACTACCTTTAATAATAGTTTAACGTTGGTGAAATCCACTAGCGACACCTGTATCTCCACTACGATCATTAGTTGAATTGATAAATGTTTAATTTATTATACTTCTTGCATTACTGATGTAACATTGAATAGAATAGTATATTAGCTAGAAGATAATGTAATTAATGTATGATCTGCTGAAAGTTGTGATAAAAACTTGATAATGGATGTCGTTTAAAATCCATGAAATAATTATTGACACATGAATTTTTTTTACTATTACGGTATTCAACATGACATCACGGCATTATGGCATATGTTTCGACAGCACCCATATCGTACCTAATCCACATTAATTAGATTAAGAAACAATTTTTTCTTAAATTACGAATTAAAGAACTCTAATTATCAAACTAATAGTAATAACAATAATAAATAAATAAATTTAATTCATCAATATAAAATTTTGCTTTTGATAATAGATAACTTTAAAAAAAAAAATCTTTTAATAGTAAATGTGGGATTTTGAATTGATTTTCAACGTAGGGCCAAATAGTGATACAATCCGCGGATATCCTCCATCCATCAATCCGTATCCGCAGATATTTTGATCCGGATATCCGAGATATCCGAGAATTTTATCCTCGGATTATAATAAAGTACTAACGGATACCCTATAAAAAATTTTTATCCGAATATTTCCATTATTTCTCCGTGTCTTCCGTAAAAATTCCGTGAAAATGATACATTCACGGATATCCGTGTTAGCGAGATGAAAATTTCCATGATTTGAGGTTATTAATTCCATGAAAATGATACATTCACGGAAAAGATAAAACACGGATCAGATTTTTTACAGGGATATCCGAATCCGCGGATGATAGATATCTGCACTATATGAGACGAACTGTATCACTATTACCGAATCCATTTCATCGACAGGGAATTGATGTTAAAAATAATAAAACGGTCAATTAATTTGATTTATTACGCATAATGATTTTTTTTATTTGAATTTGATCAGATATTAATCACTAAACAATTAATCTCTATAAAAAAAAATCCTTTTTTATTTTTTTATCTTGTATACTATAAGAAATTGTGTTTATATTAATATAGATAAATCCTACACGAACTGAAATCATACATAAATCTTGATACAACATGAAGATTCATTAATGTTGAAACGAGTTTACGGTGCTAAAAAGGTGTTGAATACGTTACACTAGTAATACATTTTACTCAATAGTACGTACTATGTAGTACGCAATATAAGAATTTTCTTGTTAAATTAAAATAAGAAAAATTTTTTAATTAAAAAAAGAGTTACAATCCAATTATGTATGTTATTTATGCATCTTCGCAAACAAAGTTAGTATCGTTAAAAAAATGCAAAAAATTCAGCTCAATAATTTAAAGAACAATTTGAGAACGAAAAAATGCGTTTCAAGCTTTAATAAACATAAGGTATGATTACAATTTATAATTTAACAATTATAGCATATTGTTAACAAATATAGCACGTACAATAGCTTTTTTTATATATTACATAACAGGTAATAGTAGGTTCACAAATCGCATTTTTGTAATACTTCGCATGACTGTACTCCACTCATTTGACCTACCGGACTCCACAACTTTCTGTATCACTCGTTTACGAGTTAGTTTTTGAGGAAGAATGATTTAGATCTTGCAGGAGTCGATTTTGAATTTCCGAACTACTCACTGGTATAATAATAATAGTTGTCTGAGGAGAATTAATATTTATGCCAAGTGAGTTAAGCAGAGGAGAAACATTATATTGAGGTTGAGGTACTAGATTTTATGGATTTTGATTGTGGTAAAATTGCGGAGGTGAAACGTTGTCGGATGTGGATTGTTGATGATTACGATCAGGAGTATTATTTGAGGTGTTATTTTGCTGATGAAAAGTATCGTTATTATTAGTGGAAATACATTGCTGATATTGATTATTAGGAATATTGTTTGAAACGTCACATTGTTGATAATTATTATTAGAGGGAATAAAAACGCCGTTATTATTCGGCATAGAATTGTTATATGTGACTGGGGTAGGTGTAGCTTGAGTAACAGCTATTTGAGATAAATTATTAAAATTATTATTCATATTTTTGTTTATATGATGAAGAATAAACATTTCATCGCATTTTTATTTGTATATTTTCATGTTGTGTAACCAGAACCAACTTCTATAAAGGTTAAAAAAAGAATTATTCGTTTAATAATTATTTACCTATTTCATTTACTTATTCTATTTTTCCGATGTACAGTACGTATAATATATTATATATTTTATTATAAAAATCGTATCGATTGTAAGATTAAGGTTCTACCAATTACAATTTTTTCGGGAATAAGCTTTCAAGCTTTCAGGGCTTTCATTAGTTTCCATAAATGAAATTATTCACGAAAATTTTTTTTAATTGTTCGTAGGTTTATTGTATTTGAAATTGTAATTAAAAAGTTTTATTTTTTTCCGGGTTACATTTAGGCAAGACTGTTTATCCGCAAATAATGACCAACAGCAGCAGGCATGGCGTAAAACCAATAAACTATTTATAATTTATTTTAGTACGACTATAAAAACATATAATAGTAAATAACGCACTAACTTTGGAAAATTATGTGTTGCTTCATTATTATTCGAAATCGATAGTGAGAATATTTCGTGAATTGTGACAATCATTGTCGTAATTAACGTAATTAACATATGACCATAATTAAAAGTGTGACAGAACTAATGAATGAAATTAATGAAATTACAGTACACAATGCTTTCTGACAATTTTAGCATAATTTTATTAATGAATAAAAACGTCCAAAACGTCTTTTTCTCCAAATATTATATAACGGCTTAACTTTTGAAGTTAAGCGTTTCGATCTAAAAACTCTAAAGTTAGATAAATAAACAAAACTTAACTTTCTTAATAATATAATTTTACGTAAGATAATTACTGTAATACGTTAATTTTTTTTTTTTAAAGAAAAATTCGATAAATATTTATGAGAAAATCTGTTTTATGTACTGTAAGTATGCTACAATAAAAATAATTATATGTGGCGGGTTCTCACATTCCATGCGTGATTGTGTAATAAAGGCGGTGATAAACATGATTCAAAACCTTATTAGATCTCTATGTAACAAGATCATGCATTTATGAGTAATGAGAACTAAAATGGACTTTACTAATAGGATTCCTGAGCTATTCTATTAATAAATGCAGATCTGCCGGGGAGGTTTGATTTTAAATGATACATTTACTAGTTAAAAATTTATATATGCAGGCGTGCAAATTGTGTTTCTAATTAATTTATTCGACTTATTTAGTCAATTTAATAATAATAATTAAGTTTAGAAAATTAATTTGACTCGTTCTTTGATTTATATTTTTCAGAAACAAGCATTGCCATTTTATAATAATAATTATTAAATAAACCCGTTTTTGTGTCAAAAAAGGTTTACTCAAGATTAATTTATAATGAGCCCTTAAAAGTGCGGTTAAGAGATGATCATCTCATTAGCATCAATGAATTCCCAAATTCAGGTTCTCTTAACAATACGATAATTGAACCTATATTATAAATATTTTCTCTTGTCATATAAACCTGTTTAGCCTGCTGCAAAGCACTTCAGAGAAATAATATTAGGAAGTTCGTTACGCACAATTCTTCCTCTTTTTTGCCATTCGATGATATTTCATTTCAATTAAGCTAAAAAAAAATTTATCAATAAAAGCTAAGATGTATGAGGGTATAATTATTTAATCTAAATTGGTTAGTAAACAGTAAGTACAGATTTCACAAAGAAAATGTTTATCACGTGTGGCGCAGTTCGTCCGGCACGTGACGATGTACAGCCACTCAAACTAGAATTAAAATTGACCAAAGAATTTTTATGTATTTTTTTTTAGAATTTAATGTTTTATTTGTATAATTATGTATTTTTATTGTTATTTTTATTTTCTTTAATTTGTTTAATTCTTTTTTTTATTTATTTATAAATATTTTGGCTGAATGATTTTAAGTAATACGACAAAATTTACTTCAGTAAAGTAGAATTCGGTGAAACGTATCGTAACCATGTAAATGTATTTTTGAAAAACTGTAATAATAAAAGAGGTTAAAGTTTAATTTTGCATAAAACTCTATTTAATTTATAAAGTTATACTGACGTTTTTAAAGTAATTTATATATGACCATTTTTTCTTTCCTCGTCATTTATGATTCATTGAGTTTCTTTAGAGTGTCAAGTGTCAACCACCTTTCATATCTAAATAGTTATTCACTCTATTAAAGGAACGTGCATAAAAAAAAAGAAAAAAATTTACGTAGAAAAAGTATTTATTATATATATAAAATTTTATATTTTGTGCACACTGGCATGTAAACTTTACCTTTACTTAATTTCTTACAAAATTTACGGACTAAAATAATCAAAAATTTTTAAGAAATATATTTAATTAATGTAAGAAATAAAGCACAGAATATGTAAATAAAAAAAAAATAAAATAAATTTGAAAACAAACAAAGAATAATATAGAATATAGAATATAGAATATGGATAAATCTTAACTATAACATCATATTGATTTATTAAAAAATAAAAGAATATAATGTTGAAATCAAGTTTGCGAATTATAGTAAGTTTCGAATTTGATATTAATATCTGGATTAGTTACTGGAATAACAATAATATTTGTTTGAGGAGAATTAATAGTTATGTTAAATGAATTAAGTGGAGGAAAAATATTGAACTGAGGTGGTGGATTTGGTGGATTTTGATTAATGTATCGTGGGTAAAATTGCGAAGGTGTAGTATTATTAGGAATGGATTGACAATAGTTATGGTGAGGAATATTGTTTGAAACGTCATATTGCTGATGATTATAATCAGGAGAAATAGTATCGTTATTGTTTGAAATGACATTAGATACGGGTTGTTGGTCAGAGGTCGTAACGTTCTTGCAGTGTGTGACTGGTGTGACTGGCACATACATGTTCTCTATTTGTTGTAAATTATTGAAATCGGATTCATAAATAATCTTATTTGAATTATTTTGTGAAATGTCCTTATTATTCATGATTAATGTAACGTATTCGTGTTTATGATTTATAAATTATTGAATTGACGAAAATGATAAATATTTTTTTTCAGTGGAGGAGGTTTTCAGGGGTTTTTATAAGAAAACATCATATATCTATTTTTATGGCGTAACACAAGCCTGCAGCGGTTTAGAATTCTAAAATATTATTATTGGCATATATACGAGCTTTAAATACATACAAAAAAAAAGTGATTAAAAAAGATGATTGAATTACAATTTAAAGTTAGCGAACGTGATAAATCATGTACATTCAAATTACGCGTGATTAATTATATTCTTATAATTAATAAAATATGTTAATAATTTTTTATGGATAATATTATTCCTTCTCATCGTAATTTTGCATATTTTTTTCTTTATAAAAAACTTGATTTACAACTCGTTAACGACAATCGAATTTTAACAGGTTGTTATTTTTTCATATTTAAAGCTTTTCTGAAAAATTTGAGGGTGAGTGAAATACATATATTTCAACAGAACAGTTCGCAAGAAAGCATATTTAAACGTAGAAAGAACATTTATGATAACGCTTGGTTCCGGAAATAATAATTATTATTGCCGTATTGACGAATCGAACACACCCAATAATGAAAAAAAAAATTCCTACAAAATTCAAACTTAGTAATATATTTTAGTAGTATGCAATAAATATATATATATATATATATATTAAATTTTATATTATTTACATATATGCTATTACTTGTATTTGCTCGTGTTCGCTTGTTCAGTGTGTTGTGTTTGATGTGTGTTCGCATAAATATCTCCATTTTCAATTTATTTTTTCTTACTCAAAAATGACAAAAATAGTTTTTATAAAAAATTATACATGCATATTTCAAGTTCGTGAAATTCTTTATATATATGTTCATGGTGTGTTCGATGTGTTCGGTGTAAAATAATCAAAACTTTCGATTGCTAACATTTCTGAAAGCAATAAAGTATCGGTCACTACGTTCTCACGATTGCATAAAGTTATATGTCATATTAATATTAAATAAATTGAAATGCTTTTTGGTCAAGAAAAAAATGGAACAAATCATTTTTTAAATCAAATCATTGATATTCTTTTTAGACCTGGAAATAATTTATTCACGCGAAGACAAGTCGTAAAAGTAGTTCTTAATCGTTTGCCGGGAAGTTTCAATTTGGCTTAAAATTGTGAGTAGTCGACCGATAATCTTAGGCTCAAATACGAAATTATCACAGTTAACGAAAGGTAATTAATAATAATTTTCTGCCCTTATTTAACAAAGTTAAGAACGATATATATATTTTTTTATTTAAAAAAAAAATAACAAGAAAACAATTCGATACTCAGGAATAACTCAGAGTTTGCACCCTTTCCAATATAGTATGATCGTCCACATTCAAGTATTTCCATATATAGGAGCAGTTTGAAAGCTGTAAATAAATAAGTTTTCTTTCTAAAAAATATTACACAAAAAAATTCACCAATAAAGGAAAGAATTTTCGAATTAAAAGTCGATAGAAATATTTTAAATGTAAAAGCTAATAAAAGGTATTTAAATTCCTTCTATATCAGGTTCTTATATTTCTTCAAGCAATCGAAGAAATTGTCATTTTAACTTTTTTTTCGGTTGGAAATTGAGGAATAGTAAAAAGATCAAGGATTTAAAAGTAGCGCGATAAGTAAATAATTATGCAAAGAAAATTTTACTTAAAATAAATGTATAATATGTTTCCGAACTTAAAAAGTTGTTTCATATGATATTTCATAAATTACGGTAAAATCTTTTGCTTTTAATAATTAAATATTATTAATTCATATATTATATTATCTCAGAAATCCAAACAACGCAGACTAATAAGTATTCTTTAATTAAAATAAATATTAAAGGGAAGGGTTTAAACCTTATACGCATCTACGCTGCAAGGCACACACATATATATAAATTAAGTGTTACAAAATACGTATAGAACATGCCTTTAAAAGTTAGACATAGACAACGGATTTCGGAAGATATTACATTACTATAAAAGTAAACTATATATTCTATTTGTTAAGGCTAAGTTATTTGTTATTTGAAGCCACTGACTGATGATTTACAGCATAAAAATTTACGCCCAAATGGTATTATATAATAAAAAACTATTGGCATACAAACAAAATGAAATGGAGTACGTAAGGATGTCCTTCCGAAACTTAAATGAATTTTATTACTTTTTTTCATATTATTTGTTTACATGTAACCAATCAAACGTCGCATGATCGATCAATTAGTTAGATGAAGTTCAAAGCACATATCAGAGCACATAACATTATAACCAATTTAACCAAAATCAGTTCAACCAAGCAAATTACGACATAATCTCAAAATCTGAGATTATTATAATTTAAATAACATAAATAAAACACATGCTTTTTCGGATTATTTTACATTTCATCCGTATTTGACAGTGAAAACTCACAAACACATACCGATCTGGGACCATGTCACTTATTGTGATTATTATCATACATGTTTGCAAAAAGTTAATGTAATGGTATATAAAAAAGAATTGTATATGGTTAGTCTGGAAAATAAATCTAATTAGGCTTTGCAAAACGACGACAACCATTATAAATAAATCCGGAGATTTGCATCTTACAATTTTTTTTTCTGCTTGGAAGGGAACAAATCCATTGTGATAAATCCGTTTTGTATGAAACTTGGCTATATTTGGTATAAATATATCCTTTTTCATGTCAGTATATATTATTTGATATTTGTTTCTTTGTTCAGATAAATCATATGCGAATTGTGTAAATGAGAAAGTTTTTTTTTTTTTGTGTACTTAAAAATATTTATTATTAATAAAAATTTTGAATCAATTATATTTATTTTTGGATACTTTTGATTTATTTTTAAGTNAAAAAAAATTTTTTTTTTTTTTTTTTTTTTATTATTATTATTATTGTTGTTACATATTGTATACGCCTTAAAAACTTAAAATCCTTAAAAAAATTTTTTCTATAAATGTAATTTACCCATTCAAAGTAAACCGAAATTTATGCAAGTTATGCAATATGGCGCATATTCACATGTTTTGGCTTGTTTGAGTTACAATTACTATTTATAGTAGATCAATAGTATGTAATCTACTGCGCCATCAAACGTGTGTAAAAAAATCGTGATATGTTTCTTAAAATAATTTTATGTAAATAATTTTTTTAAATAAAAATTATTCAAAATTCAAAAATCATAATCATAAATAAAAAATATAGTGTTAACCATAATTATGTAAGAAAATAAAGAAAATAAAGAACGAAAGAAATAAAGAATGTTATAGTATGTCACAGTATCATAATGATTCATGCAAATATGAAAACTTTAGGATAAACCCTACAGTATTATAGGATAAACCCTACAGTATTATATGATAAACACAAGTTATATATATATATATCGTAAATTAAGAATTTATTGTTGAGATTGAGACGAGTTATTTGTCGAAGGAGGAGTATTATTATTTAGAGCAGTACAAATTTGCTGAAGCGTATCTGGATTAATTGTTGATAAGTTAAAAACAAATGTTCGTTGGGAACTAATACTAAAGTTATTATACTGAAGTGGATTTTGAACATCTGGGAAAAGTTGTTGAGGCGAAATGTTTTCAGATGTAGATTGTTGATAATTACGAGTTTGTTCGCTACCATATGGCTGATTATTATTATTATTAGGGGGAATATTGTCATTATTATTATTTGGGGCGACATTAATTATAGGTTGATGATAAATGCTTGAAGGGTGGTGATTTTGATCAGTAGTAATACCGTTATTATTCAACATGGTTTGCTGATTGCTATATGTATCGTTTAGGTTTGGTTGGTCAAACCTGTTAGTAGATTCGGGTTCGTAAACATCATCAAAATTATTTTGGGAAGCCATAGTTTTGTTTCGGTTAATATATTGTTGTATCGATGAATTTATTGAATTGAAGAAAATAATAAACTTGGGGATTTTGAGTGTATTTATAAAAAAAAAAATTTGGCGTAGCAACACAACTTCTCTCTGTGTTTGAGAGTAGTAACGTAGCAAAAAACCTTAAAAAAAGTCAATCCGCGATTGATACTCCGTAAATACTATAGAACTGCGGAAAATTGTTCGGACTTTGTAACATATAGACGATTCACGGAGTTTTTACAGAAAATATGAAGGTTATAACGGAAACATCCGCCGAATAAAATTTTTTATAGGTAAGCGTTTTTGCGAGGATCTCCAATTTGTCATAAGATAACATTAAATACAAAAAAATTTATAATTGTTGATTTTCATGAAATCATTGAGTATTGCATGAAAACAATAAATTTCTTACATTTACAAGTTATATTTTTGAGAACATTCACGTTCTTAACATCTTTTTTGTAATTATTTTGTCATTGTTTGATCATAACTTAATTTGGCTCATCCATTCCTAATTTGGTAGTTCCTAATATGATATTCAATAGTTGTATCACTATTACTATTGATCGTGGAGAAAGTTTAGGACTGTCAATTAATTTTAAGCATAAAAAGTAAAATTAAAATTTCAATTTTTTTTTCACTTATAGACCAATCAAATCATCTGTTGGCTTTCTAGTTTTGGGATTATTGTATTCCTGCTTTTGATTTTATATTTTGCTTTGTAAACTTAATTATTTTAAAATTAGTAAGAAAAAAAAAAAAGTCAATTATTTCCAGACTAATTGCATTTTTTTATTTATGAATCAAAATTGGAAATGATGAATCACACACATGTAGCAAGTAAATTTCGTGAGAGGTAAATCAACGAATTTATAGATTATTTATCTTAATTTTATATTCGAAACTTTGAGCATTTATATATATATATATATTAAAAATAATAAATTATGGGAATTAAACAATAATAAGAAGGTAGAATTTTTTAAAAATTTCTTGAATACAATTTATAGAACCTCGAGAAAAATTGATCTTCAATTAGAATTCTTTTTTTGCTACGACATTCAACGTATACTAAAATAGGTTAGATCTAGTTATCGAATTATGGATCTTGACCTGAGTCAATACTGAGTTCGTGTTACCTTTATTCGTTTCTGAAAAGGTAAATTTACAAAGTAATGAAAATGAAAGTAAAAAGTGACAATATGGATAAATGCTATCTATTTATAGTTTTCAAGTATAAAATGAGTAGAAGAATTATTTATAAATTCCACCATTTATATGTACTTTATAAACCAAAAGCTAAATATATATTTTTAAAAATAAATTACTTTGAACATCATAAACATATCGTAAATATAATTTAACATTTCCAAATACTAATTATAAATACAGTTTCTTTAATATACTCATAATGAGTCTTCTTTGACAAACTGTGAAGAATTTGAATTTATTTATAATTGCAACCAAAATTAAATTAATTTTTGACGTATCCAAATATGTACTGTACACAGCATTTATAATAAAAAAAAATTTTGTTTTATCAAGGAAATTTTTTTTATTTATACAAAATCTTAAAAAAAGATCTGTAAACATATTCTATCTTATCTGGCATGTAAATGAATATTAAGAAATTGATCAGTAAACCTGAGCTTAGTCAAACATGTGACGAATATTTATAACTATAACTCCCCCAGCGTAACCAACAAAAAAGCTCGGGCACGTGATATAAAGTGTGGTGTCTAAATTTTGATTGGTTGATCTTGTGTAACATTTACTTCGAAAAAAAATAAAATAAAACCATTCGCGAAAAATTCAAAGACTTTTAATATTTTTAAAGTGACTTTATAGTAAAAAAATCAATAAATTTTTAAGTTTTAAATATTTTTATTGAATAATACTGTAAACAATACAGAAAATTTTTACTTTATATATTTATGAAATAAAAAATTTTTTCTGTTTCTGTATAACTGATAAAGTAACTTATACCTAACTAAAAGTATACAAGTTTGTGCTATTTATACAAAAAAGTCAAAATATATAAAATTAATATATATAAATACTTTAATACTTGCTAAAACAAACTTTAAAAATTTCAAAAGAAACGTAAAATATTATTTCCAAGGTTTCCAAAAAATAAAATGTATAAGAAATAGGTGAACGGGCAAGTTAATAATTGACGCGAGAAAAAAAATATTTTTTTATATCGCATCAAACACAGCCACATCACAGATCACGTGCGCGAGCTTTTTTTTTTGTTGGTTACTTGGTTACATGATTTGCGCACATGATCCGGATGATTATTTTCGGTAATTATTATACTATGATTATGATCTTTATTGATTAAAAACCATCTAGCTATGATTTGCATATGAAAATATAGATATACAAATTTATATTAACTAAATTTACGTTACTCTAGAATAAAAATATATAAGTAAGTCGCTATTTTCAAAATGTTGTGGGCAGTTTATCTGTGATTCAGGTTTTCTAATGAATCCTCGATATTTTTTATGTCCTCACAGTTTTTGTCGATAATTTCTTTATCTACTCTTGTTAATATTTGAAACATTTTCAACCGCCCGGAATCAACTCCTTCAAATAAGCCAGCTATTTCTTCGAGTTTCAAGCCGTATTCTTCTTTGGGTTTCACATCATCTTTTAGTTTCAAGATGACTTCTTTTAGTTTCATATCATCTTTTAGTTTCAAGATGTCGTCTTTTAATATAAGATAACTCCTAATATTTTCAAGTTTTCTTCGATTATATCTTTAACCCATTCTCGACTTCCCCATATTTGCTCTCCTTGAATTAATTTCATTAGATATGTTTTCTTTAGATTTATTTTTTGAATTTCATTAAATTTGTCATTAATTATATGATCTATACGTTATTGATGATTGTTTTGAACATTCGGTGCCTGTTAATGTATTATGAAAAAAAAGTGTGTACATCTCTTTTTATATAGTGCTCTATACAAGCAGGTATCGAAAAACCTGTGGAAATCTTGTACAAGTAGTAGCTCTCGTCCGAAAGTAAAACTCCAAATACAATGCCCGGCGCTATAGTGATGATAAACATCCACAATAAGTGAACCAAAGGTAACAATATTAATGAAAAGAGACGGCGCTTTAAGAAGAAAAGACCAGAATATATATAGTCAATTAGCCAAATGAACAAGGATCCCCATTCGATATAAATTTTGACATAAGAAGAGACTTTACATATTAAATAATGGGTTTTGCTATTGCAAATTAGATTAATAGCTTCAGGGTACTAGTGGGTGAATTTGAATTCTTTGCTTTCATTTTTTCCTGCATTTCAACTGAATAGGGAAGGAAGAAGATATATGCGCTTATAAGTAAAGGGATACGGGGCGGTTTATTATTATACTATTAAGATGACTGGTTTTGTTCCTTATGAATGATCTAGTTTTTTTCGTCAAAAACTTCAGAAAATTTATTGCTCACAACTCACAAGTACTATATATACTAAGTATGTTTACACCTTGGTTGAAGTAAGTATCAAATATTTCTTTTCCATAATCCATCGCCATTTTGGTTAAAGAAGCAAATAATCTTTCTTAGAATTTTTACATATTAGGGAAATTAATGATTTATTTTAAAAATAAAGAGAATGCTTTTTTTATATTTGAGATAGGCTACATAGACAGATCATACAAAATTGCCTTTTGTAATTATTTTGAAATTGGGTGATATTGTATTATGTATCATAACGGTGCAATCGACGTAAAAAAAAAAAATTTTTTTATCAATCACCGCACATGTAACATGTAGATCATAATCGAGTTACTTTCATTTTATAAATTTTACTATGCAACTCCTGTAATTACCGTAGTATAAAAATGTGATCAAATGTGATAGGCGACATATATTTTGCCAGTGATTTGATATGATGGCGTTCAATTGGATTAAATATTATGGTGGTAAGGATAATGGCCAAAAATATAGATGGAAATCGGTGTTGAATTTTTACATTGAAGAAAATCTCAGCAATCGTGAACCCTGTCATGAGAAATATGCTAGAATAGCATTTCTGTCAAAGGTTCAAGCAAACCCACTACCTTGAAATTAATGGAAATAATTGCTGCCACACTCAGGATTGCTTTGCCTTTACCATTCACAAAACCCCTCGTCTTACCAAGAGTATGCCTCTCGCCTGCCTGCTTTCAGCAGCTGTTCTTGGGATAATATTGAGATATCTCACCTTGACAGATCCACGTTCATGATTAACCAGGATGTTGTTTTAACATACCAGAGATTGTCTGATATCTCCAATATGAATCTGTATTTTATTACATAAAATCCCTAATAAATTAAATAAATTGACACTTAATTCTGGCCGAAAATTATAATTTTGGCAAGAGTTATTAGACCACCACAAGATCCTAGTAAATGTTTGCTGGCCGGCATTAAAATTCTGGGCCAGAGTTAAAATCTTAATTCTGATATTATTTCTTGTTATCAGCTATTAAATGAATTACTATTCTAAGATTGATGCAATTCCCACTTTAATAACTCTGGATTATTTTCATTATTTTCTTTCAAAATTCTGCAGAAGTATCATAAATAATTACATCCTTCATGTAATAGAATGCTATTTTCAATAAAAAAAGGTATTCGAGTTTCGACAATAAATAAGTATTCATTCTTGGATACATTTCTGTAAGAAAAAACTATTTTTCTTTAGTATTATTCAAAATAGCGAGGTGTTATATTATTCTTTAAGTTATTGTATATTCTTTAAATTTTACATACTCCATTTGCTTATAAGAAACGTACTAAACGTTTCTTTTTGAATACTAATCAAATGCAAAGTTATTGAATTTAAAAACTTGAGGTTTAGATAAGAAAATTCCCAAATTTGATATCATAATTGATCATAAAAATCTATTATTAAATTTATGATGAAAAAAATTTCAATTTTCGTATATTATTATAGTGAGACGTAATAAACTTGTAACTTTACGTTACTCACTTGCTACTCACTTTCTATATATGCTCTTGGCTTACCATCCGAATCAAATCATGCACCTGGAACAGTTTATTCCAGGTAAAATTGGTAAAAACATTGTTGATTATGGGTGACGGAAACCGTTATTAAATCCGAAGCGCTATTAATATTGTTTAGGTTACGAAAAAAATATATTAGTTATTAAACTATCTTATAAGTACCTAGCAAAGCGTAATTATGACATCGAGTTTGGGCATTACAAACCTACTATAGTTATTGGTTAAGTTTAGATGCTGATAAAATAGCATACTAAAAAAAAAAATATGAAAACTTTGAACATAGTAATCTCTGCGAAATTTATGAATTTTGACAGAGGTCGGTTCCGAACCATTATGCATGGCGTATAAACATATAAATAATTTAAATTTATTTTATAATCCATAATATTTCTTTGAAATATTGGTATATAATTTTTGGAAGTAAAGGCGAAATAAAAGAAAATAGCATTATTTGTTACTTTAAGCAAGAAAGATATCAAAAATACGTGAGAATACGAAGAATTTTTAATTAATTATTTATTAGTTTTTTTTACATATGAATCTTAATTATCTTCCTTATATATTTAATTATTTTTTATATGAATAATTAGTATCCTTATATATTTATTGTTTTTTTTATATATGAATAATTAGTCTCCTCATATATTTAATTATTTTTTATATATGAATATTTAATATATATATTTATATATATATGAATCTTAATTAGTGTCTCCTTATATTCTTTTCAAAACAAAACAGGTATCATATTTAATCTTAAACTATACTTAATATAATCGGAATATCGAAATAAAGAATAAAATGCGAAGAGAATTTATTATCGAAATTTTTTTTTTTTGATCATGAAAATTCAATGAAAATAATAATAATTTTCTTCAAAGAAAGTTGGATCAATTGGTCCGTAAATTGGATAATACGATTGTTGAATGTAACCCTGGTTCACGTCTAAAGAATCGAGAGTGCTTGGAACGATTGACTGAGTTTCTTGTTGTCTTTCCATATCATCAAAGTATTTCAAATGATTATCCATCTCCGATTGTAATAATTGTGATGGAGGAAACATTTGTCTTTCCATATCATCAAAGCATTTCAAATGATTATCCATCTCCGATTGTAATAATTGAGATGGAGGAAACATTTGTCTTTCCATATCATCAAAGCATTTCAAATGTTTATCCATCTCCGATTGCAATAATTGTGATGGAGGAAGCATTTGTCTTTCCATATCATCAAAACATTTCAAATGTTTATCCATCTCCGATTGTAATAATTGTGATGGAGGAAGCATTTGTTGTGGCGGAAGTGGGAGATGTAATTGAGGTGATTGCGAATGGTTTTGTAAATCTTGTAGGAATATTTTATCTGCATCGTGCGCTAATCTACGATAACCCTGTTTTACATTTTCTGGCTCCTGTTTCCACGAAATACTACAAAGAGTAGATATTTTCTTTTGTTGAAAACGAAGATTTTTTTTAGCCAGTTCTCTAGAAAAGACCTTTCGATAGATCATAAACGCGTTCGGAGGTTTTTTAGCTTTCTTGCCATTTTTTTTGTCCGAAATTACTTCACGAGCAGTAATTTTGGGGGGAAAGGGTAATCGAACTTCTGGCTCGTCGGGAACTTGCGATCGTTTATTTTTTGACATTTTAATTAAATATTATAAAATATTAATTAATTTTTCCCGCCTGTTAATGATTTGGAAACTCATTCTATTTATAAGTTTTTTTCAACTTATTGTCGTATTTTTCGCTTATTACGCGTAAACATATGGATACACAATGTTATTCTTCTTTGTGGCGAAAAAAATACAACCTTTCTTTTAGTGTGTGTTTTGAATTTTTTCTTTTTAAACCCAAAATAGATAAAATTATGTTCTTTCTGTATTCAGATTGCTAATATTTTCCCCTTCTTTATTGATAGCTTATATTGTAGATGTTAAAAATGCACATAACAATATCATGCATCATATGATAATATGCTGACTAAAAAAAAAAATCCTTATACATTGTGAACGATTAAAAGGAATGAAAGAAATTATTTTTCTTACAAAAAAAAAACTATGTATTTCTAGAATAATATTTAAAAGAAATATCATCATAACTATATTTTTTATAACGTTAATTAATTTTTATTAGGATAACAATTTCGGACGAAAGGATCCGATATAAAGTAACAAATTTATATCAAAATAAAAATTAATATTATGGGATTTTAACACAAAGCGAATACACTTGATGTCATTTTTCTAGATAAGTAATTGAATGAAAAAAATAAATTTATTAATTTACAAAATTAATCAAGAGAAACAGCCAATTGAATGAATTCTTTCCTTTGTTTTCCTTGAATAAAAACTAATAAATTTTTTGTTTTTTTTCATTATCCGCAGTAAATTGATCAAAAAATTAGATTCATTATCTAATACTATACTCTATTGAAGATCGACATCGCCGAGGTACAAAGGTACAAAATATTATCGACTTTGTTATGACGTTTCACCAATTATGTAGCAAATATTTTTAAATAATTTTTTTTATTTTTAGCCCAATTTAAATAGTCAATAAGTATTATTCTAAAGCAATTTAATTGGGTCTAAAATTTAAAATATTTGAAACCAAACGTCATATTACTCCTAACTTATTAAACTTACTAAGTAAAACATAATACCTTTGTTATTAAATAGAATTATTATTAAATTGTGCGGCCATACTCGTATCGATAGTTTCATAATGGCGCAGTAATAAAATAGACGAATTAAAAAATTTCACATTTTTCACATTTTTCCAGAATTTACCGCAATTTGCAAATTATATAACTGTATGTAATTTGTAAACTGAAATTAGTGAAAACGATTCTTTTTTTGGTTTCAAAATGGTGTGTTTGTGATTGTATATTCGGATATCAATATTTACCCGGGTTTCATCCATTTTTTTCGTCCGGTTATCGTCCGGTTTTTTAGTTTTCTTTTTTTTTTTATTCAAATATAACTGCATACACCATTTTGAAAACTGCGATAAATAATTCTAATGATAAAATATTTTTGCAATAATTACTTGGTAACAATGCTATAAAATAAAAAAAAAAACAGCTCATAACGTCAAAAGTAGAAAAATAAATATTATAATCTCAAGCATTTATATCATGAACATAAAATAAATCCGCAGTAAAATTTAATTTAATAAACGTTAAAGCGAGAACGTATAACCTGTACTGTATATTTTACTAGTAAATTGCGTAAATACGATAACAGTTAACGGAGTTATCAAATGCTGAAAATTTCGATTAGTCTACAGTGCGCAACGTCTATACCCGACTAGCACCTTATAATAACAATTGGTCGGCAGGGGATCCTGAAAAAATTTTTTTATATAATAACAATATAAATTAACCGATGACTTTTATAGTTCATGACTTCAGATTTAAATATTATCGGCTAGAATTTTTTAAAAAAAAATTGGTCGAGTTTTATTCTTTTAAAAATCATTAACTTTATATACAATTAAATTTTGAATTTTATTATTTATGAAGAAAAGTAATTTTCGTATCATGTGACTTATAAATTCTGAAATATGATTGGCTATTATTAGTGTCACGTGATGCATACATTGAAACAAAGGTCTAAAATTTTAAAAAATGATTCCTTTTTAATGAATAGAATTTTTTATTATTTTACTAAAATCGGATCATTGGATCAATTATTCAAGATTTTCTAAGTGTCGGGTATAGACGTTGCGCACTGTAATATTTTGAAAAGCCTAAAATTTTATCATTCATGAGAAAAAAAAAAAAAAAATCTGGAAGAATTCAAATATAAAAGAACTTTCTAAAAATAAAAGTTAAGGACAGAAAACTAAAAAAAATTAAAAAAAAATGGCATTTGTATTTGAGGTTGGTGTATTTGAAGTGGTAGTTGACAATGATGATCATTTCAACTGGAGCTTTGAACCCGGCCGGTTAAGACTGTTATTATCATTTCGGTAAATTTTTTTTAACACCGGTCAGAATTATATTTAGTCAGTTAATTAACCGGCCTAAAAATTGGTTAACCGGCTAATAGGTTAGGGTTTTTTTTGGACCAGTTTCAATTACAGATGATGAATAATGTAGATTTTGCATTACAGGACTATGATATATGCTAGTACAGTATTTAGATATATGAACTTGCGTAGTTTTGCTTACAATATGAAAAATGTTGATTGTTTAAAAAACCGATGTAAGTTTTTGTCCATAAAAATTTTTAAAACTTCAAATAATTTTAATTGGATATGCAACCCTAAGGTGACTAATTAAGTAATATGGCGTAATTAAGTTAGCCTTAAAGTTAATTAGCCATAAAATCTCATACATACCCAATAATTTTTTATGAATAAAAAAACCATAAATTATAAATGCAAAGGAGTTTGGCGAACTAGATGGTTCTAAACGATTCGTTAAAAAGTGAAAAAAAAATTATCTTTCCTCAACTTTTTAATCTTGTCATATGAAAAATCAGAGCATACATACTCAAAATGTTGTTCTATTATCTCAATTATTTCTAATTAAGTTTTTTTTTAATTCTTGAATACGAGCGGTAAATGCATATGTAAGAAGGTAAATCATAATGTAAAAGTGTTCTATCTGGAATTACTTGCATTCAATAAAATAATTTTGAGTGTGGCACAACGCCACCAGTGACGCATTTGGTAATTTCTTCATTGTTAATGTTAAACCCGACATATAACTTACTTATAATCACTACAAAAAAATTGTTCTTTATAAAAATTATGTATATATGGAAAATGCTTGATAAGTAATTTATGGTTATTGATTGTTTATTATCCTTATTTAATTTTATTCATAGACTTAAATTAATTATTTCAAAAAATATTACATGCATTGACAGGATTTTTTAATAATAAATTAGGAATTTTATAATGAAAAAAAAAAAATTATTGCGTTGCCTTTTTTTAAATGTGCAATAAAAATTGTATTGTACATCCTACACAAGTTTCCGTCAATTTGCGTGGCATGATTTGTGATAACAATTAGATAAATTTATAATGTCTATCTTATTCGCCTTAAAAGGATGTTACAATAGAAAAAAAAATTAAAAAAATTTTCAATCCAAAACCCTAATCTGGAATGATGAGCATGATATAATACTGCATTATTTAAAAACTTGTAAGCAGTAATTTTTGACACCAAATAAATAATGAAATATATTATGTTCAACGAAAAAATTTAGAACACAAACTTTCGAAAAAAAAAAAAAAGATTTCATTACGACGATATGAAATATATGAATTAAGTACAATAACGAAGAATATTGTTCTTAATAATACGAATTTTGTCGAAAAAAAATAAAATTTCGAATACTATACGCGATTATTAAAATTCGAACGAATTATTCGATTCAATACGATGGTGGAAAGTTGGTCATAAGGTTGGTGAGAAGGATCGAACAAAAAGATTGGAATGTAATTTGGATTATCAGATGATGAGCGTTGATGTTGTTGTGGGGTCGTGAATATTGAGGTCGTGTGGTGGCGGGATTAATGTCGTCAATATCTCAATTATTCAACCGATTTTCTGCTCGGTCGGATACTTTTCCTTATAAGCATCCCTTACTGCAGTTGTAAAGGATGAATTTCGCTCCTTTTCAAATTATCGAAATGATTTTTTTATAAAAAAGAAAATAAAATTGAATATGGGTGGGCAGAGGTGAAACGGTAATATTTATATTCGTTTTTTTTAATAAGCATCATTCTCTTTTAAGATTTAAAGTCCGATAATATATAAATAATTAAATGTAAAAAGTTTATTAAGCATGAATTATATAGATAAAATAATTTTATGAAATAAATTATATGAAGAATTATGATAGGCAACAATCAAGCCATTTATTTTTTTATGTACATAATTGAACAATACAAATAATTATTTAAAGTATTTATTTTAATATTTGTTAAGTGTATAAAATGAATTATTACAATACTTAAATAAGTAGTAATAATAGATATTTATTATTATTGATTTCTTTTTTTCTTCTTTTTTGAGTTAAATTAATTTTATGAATAAAAAGAATTGTTATTTTTAAAATCTAAAAGAAGAAAAAATAAATAATCGCAGTATATTTTGTATATTGTTCTTTCCGGCAAATTCATCTTTGATTTTTTAATCTTGGCGTTGCGTTTATTGATGTCGTGTATAAAGGAATTTCAGTTGGAGGTTTAAAGGTAAGTACATATGAAATTATCAAAGATTTCTAAATGTAAATTTATTGTCATAAAGAAATAGAAAATACTATTGGCAATATTGTGTCATATTACGAGAATTTTTGGTTAGATTTATCGCTGCTTGTATATATATTTTAAAAACATTCCTGAACAAAGTATATGCATATGCATGTGCCCATACCTACCCTATCCTACCCTATGCTTATTTATGCTTTATTCATGTGCTTTGTTTATGCTTTCAACAATAAAATAATTTTGGGATATAATCTACAATATCCATTGCGTAAATAATTTTTTTTTTTAATTTTAACTAATTTCGGTATACTAGATCTTAAAAAGTGAATTTGAGATGGCGCGCAAAATCAACAAAATTCTATTGGCTGAACCGCTTTTTGTTCGATTTTTCTTTTTCTTTAATTTTATTTTCTTGGTTTATTATA